AAAGCCAGTGTCCTGACTAAAAGAGTGTAAGGCAAGGCTTCCCCAAGTGAAAGTTCTAACAAAACAAGCTAATTAAACCAAGCAGAAAACTCTGTGCAGCTTCTCTGATTGCTTTTCGTTTGCAATATGCTGAGAATCAGGAGGCATTTAATTTTCTAATGAGTCACTTAAACATGATAATACGTTTCAAACTATCCCCTTTGCCTGGTAAATTGTCTTCACCTTCCTCCCACCTCACTCTCTTGCTTTGCAGCTACCTAAAAAGCAGCCCGTTGCACAGAGCAACGTCAGCCGAACTGACGGTTATGCCATTTCCTTCTTTGGCTTCTGTAACTCACCCTTGTCTTCAGGCAGCTGCAGATCACCCTAGTGCCCTGTCTGTCCTGTTATTTTCCCCTCCTACATGTGTTTCTCATCTTTTCCAACCACGCTTTTGCGCTACTTGTTTCTTGGTGCTCAACTGAGGGTTTCAGAGCCTAAGTTCTTCTAGGGAGGGGCACATTTGCCTCAAAGATTTTAATTCACACACAACCTCAGGAAAATCTCTTCAAATCATGTCTGGGTTCTAGGACTTGTCATCGCTGTCTCTGGGTCCCTGATGCCAGGAACAGGGCTGCTTGTTTTCTTGGTGGAGTATGAACAGCCAGCGGTTTGTTCAGTGTTGGTTACCCAGCCCAAAAAAGGAAAGAGCAGAACTATTTAAAATGGAAAAAGTGACTGTAACAGCCAGGTAAACATGCAACCAACGTCAAATAAAGCCAGACAGAGGGACACTGTGCCTAAGGACACACACTATCCAAGTGCCATGGGACAAACTATTGAGCTAGTTGCATTTCCTTTCAGATTAGTTTTGCATGGACTTGCCTGTTACCTTAACATATCTTTCTAATCACTCTAAAGAATAAAGAGCAGATGTCTTGAAAGATTCATTCATCTTTTTTTTCTAAAATGGGGATAAAAAAGAAAGCGCCTTTTCATCGCTTAGGTATTTGGGGGTGAGAATGCCTTGCTCTGTGGGACTTGCATGCAGGTGCATTAAGTGTCCCCTGAGTTGCAGGCAGCTGCATGCATGGCAGGTCTCTGCCATCGGGTCCCACATTTGCCTTCTTTAATGTCATAGTAATGTAACTGTTCTCAGTATTGTGTCTTCACACGGTGTCTGTTTCTATTTCGGATGTGTGGTACAGAACATGATGGCAAAGAACTATAGAAACTACTAAGTTGCAAAACCTCCTTTCTTCTTGATTATCAGATACAAGAACACAGACAAGAAGATATAAGAGGAAAAATTTCAAACAGACCACACAAAATTCACTCCTTTCTACGTAGTACTCTTCTATTTTTGTTGCACAACAGGCTGCAGTAGACAGTCTTCTCAAAATTTTCCAGATAAAAAAAGCTCTGTACCTTGACCTGACTTGCACCCTTCTCTTCTCTGTGCTGAGCTTTGTGCAGAGCTTCTGGCTAACACATGTGTTCCACTTTGTGAGTAAGCGTCGTTATTGTTTCTTTCTGCTGTGCAGTGGATGCCAAATTGGAGACCATGGCAGGGCTTTGTATTTTACAGTGGAAGCAGTTAGGAACAGGAGATGATTAAGGCTTTGCTTTCCATCCTGTTTTTTTTTTTCTTCTTTCCCCCCTCTTTTTTTTTAAAGGAACAGGATCTAGTGAAGCTTAGTTACTTTTGACATATGATACTATCCCATAGCAATGAATGAGATTAACATCATCCAACTTGTGGACCTCTCTAATTCTTTGCTCATTTTAACTCCTATGATTTGATTGTCACTGGTGGACAGTGTTTCTAGGTAAAACTGTGCCATAAAAACTACCATCCTCATCCTTTTCTTCTTTCCTTTTAGAGAATCTCACTTTTCATTTTAAGTCTATTCCTATTACAGAATTTCAGGTGAAACTTCCTCATGCTTCTTACAGTTGGTGTATTTCTCTATTGCTACTTACATCCTCATAGAAAAAGGAATTCTAGCTTCTGTCTTAGATACTGAAACATACAGGATGTTTCTGAATCTATTCTTCAGATATCCTTCCAGAAAAGCATGTTCCAGCTGAGCATACCTGGATCTTGGGACTAGGAATCTTCAGTGCAAACTGAGAAGTCAACTGCTCCTTTTAATTTTTTTTTCAAGCAACTCTTGAAGTGTCTCCTTCCTGTGTGAAAGGTTATGTGTGTGTGTGTACATATAGTAGTTATTTATAAACACCATTAGCTTTGTGGATTTTTTTAAGCGTCCTCAGTATTTTCCAGCTAGAAATAGCTCTGTGAGAGTATCAGGCACTACTAGTCCTAGGCTGAGAAGGGACAGACTCTGGAATGAACTCTCCTGAATAGATGGAAGGAGGTGCTTTTAAACTTTTGGCTAGCAAACTACCAGTCCAGGATACACAGCAAGTTCTGCTTTGTTTAGTGAGTGGTGTGAAAAGATCTTCCTGTAACACGCCTTAAAAGGGAAGTTCTGATTGAAGTAGAGGTTTAGCTATGAGTCATGCAAGTGAAATGCCAGCTCTGTCTCTCAGACAAGTAAATTCAAATTCCTGAAAGTGGTCTTACCCCTGAGCCTCAAAGAACTTTGTCTTCTCTGGCTAGAAGCAATAAAAAGGAATGGGAAATTTCTTTCAGAAAAAAATCTTTTTAACAGAAGAGTCTCTTTCTCTCATGTTGCATAATAAGTAATTACAGGGATGGAGTAGGGAGCAACTGGTGATACCCAGTGGCTGCACAGTGACTACACAATAAATGGCCAGGAAGAAACTTGATTTCTTCAAGCAAGCTGCAGCTGTGAGGAAGTCCACAGTCATGATGATAAGCTCTGGGCAAGTTAATATAATTTTCTATGCATATATGTAGCTAGATCCTCTATACTTGCATATTTATAATTTGCTTGTTTTTTCATTTTCTTAGCAATCATTGAAAACTGTCATTTGTAGGGTTTTCTAGACTGGACATGACCTGTTAGCAGTTCTGTTAACTCTAAATCTTTGGGTCAGAATAAAAAATAATATTTTAAACAAAGTATTTGAAAATACTGAATGTTCTCATGAGAAATTTGTGTGGTCAAATCTGAGAGTGGGACTTGCTGTGCATGCTAGTGTGCACAGTCTGTAGTGCCACTGTCCCCTCATGGCTTGGGAGGGAAATGCAGGGAATTTTTCTAGCAGTAGAAAGGCTTGGCAAGACTCTGTGTCCTTGGAATTGCCCACAAAAGACAAAGAGCAAAATTAAAATACACTGCACAGAACCTGTGATACTTTGGCTGGCACTGCACCCACAGACAGTGCACAAACAGTTCTTGTGGTCTGGTGGAAGCTGATGCCACATGCAAAGATGTGTATTGCATAAGAATAGATGAAGCAGTATACATTTACAACTTAGGAAAGAAGAATTTCATGCTCTAGTTTCCTTTTGTCCTGGAAAGAGATGATACTAAGGTAATGCTGGACTTGTGTATTTGCAGCAGCATTAGGGTGCCAGACATGAGTGTTATTTCCCTTATCCCTACAGTCTCTGTTCTGCCTAGTTCGGAACAAAACTAGGGTTGCAGGTGTGCAGGGGCATACTGCTAACTTCCATGTTCTGTATTTGTTTCAGGCCTGGCCTTTGCTGGCAGTCTTATACCCAGATATCTTCATTATACTCTTAATGCATTTAATCTGATGATTTTTGGACTTTTATTTCATGAAATTTCTCTACACTCACACAACCCATTTGGCCAGAAGCCTCAAATCCTTTCAGCAACACAGTCCCAGGAAGAAGTTGGCTAAGATTTGTTTGGTACTGCTGCCATGTAGCTTACTAAACTGTCCCTGTACAGCATTACAGCACATTTTCAGCTCTGGTTTCAAAATATAAATAAGTCCTCTAGCAGCAGTGTTCGATTTTCTTGCCTTATATGCCTCACTGAGGAGTTAGAGTAGTTTTGAATGGTTTGGAGTATGTGCTTCCTGGACTGAGTTGCTCTTGGGACAAGAAACTTGAGAGGTGGAAGTCTTCTCATTTGTCTTCATGAGGTTTCCCAAGAATTCTGAAGAAATCACTGGCTGCTATTTTGGCGAGAGCCACATTTCTGTGTATCGCAATAGTCTTCCTTAGAGGTAGACTCAGTTGTTGTTTTGGATGCAAATGTGTGGATTTGACAAGATAGAGAGCAGACATTGGGAAGAGAAATCTGCTTAAATTCCTGTCTGAATCTGATTTTCCATAGGACTCTATGTATTGGTGGGAGCAGGGGCTCTGATGACCACAGTTGGATTATTTGGATGCTGCGGAGCATCGCGGGAATCTCAATGTTTACTTGGAGCAGTAAGTAAAAGGTTTTAAGGGCCTTATCTGTGCCAGAAGATCATGCATAAACATATATTTTGTGTTATTAGTGGAAAGATCTTTGCTGCCAATGATCTGAAAAGTCTCATGACCTTTTAATGGCTAATTTAACATCTGAAACTACCATGAAAGTCACTTCTTTTTCAACTCTGTTTCCGTATTACAAGAATTCCAACTTGGCTTTCTTTTCATTGATCCTGCTTACCAGTTTTCTCTATCAGTTACTGAGTCTGCTGTTTAGGCCTGGACAAGGATGAGAGATTGACTGGCAGTCCACATAAAGTACACTGTGCAAAGTAAATTAACGTAAGGTTCTCTTCTCCCTCTGCAGTTTTTTGCTTGCTTATTGGTGATATTTGCTGCTGAGATCACTGCTGGAGTATTTACCTTTATAGGCAAGAAAGGGGTGAGTAACAGTCTACTTCTATTGTAAGTACTGGTTTCCTATGACCAACTGCTCTACAGTCTGGGCCATGCACTGAAAAGCTTCCCAGAGACTTTTCCCAGGAAGATCCTCTGACATTCTTATCTCTAGTCAACAAAAAGCTTGTGTTCTCACAAGTCCCATTTCAAAATGAGATGCAGTTTTCACTCCCCATTTTAAAGGAAATCTACAGGTGCATTAAGCGTTATGTCCAAGAGAAACATCAAGCAGAACTGTATAAGGGGGCATAATTTGGGAATAGTGCAAATAGATCCAAGCAGTGAACTTCAATTAATGAGTATTTGACCAAACTGCGGAATACAGCATCTGTAGATTCTGCCTCATGTGGAGTCTCTCTGAATGCCATTGGGCCTCCAAAGCTCCCATATTTTCTATCATGTCTGCCTGAGTTTATACCAGAAATAATTTTCTGCACTGAAGGTTGATGACAAACTGAAAGTTTGCACTGGATTTCAGGTAAGACTTGTTTGCCTCTCACTTGAAAAGTCTGATTTCCACAGGTAATACAGGAAGCCCAGAAATTATATGAAGACATTTATGACGACTATATGAAAAATCCAGAAAAGGTCAATGGGACTATTTATCGCTACCACTCAGCTGTGAGTAGTCCTCCTGAGTTTAAATATCTTAAATATTTGCTGCTTCATAGTACCTTTTAAAATTCAGAATGCCACCCACTGAGATATAAAAGAATAGAATACAGAGGTGCTTAAACTGAAGCCAGAGTCTCATAACTGTGTTTCCTGATAGCTATGACTGGGTTTCCAATCTCAAGTGATCTCTGCCTTTGAAAGTGAAAATGGCCAGGCGTTTGAATTTGAGCTAATGCTTCTAGTCTTTGTACAAAAGATGTGACTACTAAGGGTCTTTTGGCTTTTGAAGTCCAAGAATAAACACTCAAATACAGAGAGAAGTAGAAACATCAGAATCCATCTCTGCCTTTGTCAGAGAAAAAACTGTGTCCAGTGTCCCAGACCCTACAATGTTACCAATAATATTAATGGCAAATCCTATCACTAATGGCACAACACAGAGAAAGAACAAAAAGCACATAATAATGTGACTCAGCTGGGGCCACCCAGAAAGTTGATGTCTAACCCAGTTTAGGACCTGGGTAACTTCCTGAATCTCACTTGAGTTCCCTCTCTATCAACATTGCCTCCCACACAGATCAAGCCCCCCAAGTCCTTTGTTGCTCTTTACAGCATTCCCACATTCTTTATAACAAATATTTCACAACCTCGGACACTTCTGTCCTTCTCCCATGGCTGTTACTTCTGACCCCAAAAGGAATTCCAAGCATTTTGTAGGAGATACACAAACAGGAAAACAAACTCTCTAAAATGCTCTGATTTATCACCATCTCCAAACCTGCAAACCCAGCATTCTGTCCAAAAGCATACTCTGCTGCTCATCTCACATATCGCCCATTCTACGGCGTGTGTTTTTTGAACTTTCTTTCTCTGTTTAAGAACCTCTATTTCCTTGAAAGCCAGGAATCTATACTTCCAAGTGCTTCGTTGAGATATTATGATCAAAATCTCTTCTGGAAGATTTTGTCAATACATGTTTGTTCATTGTGGCTTGTGACACTTGAAACTGATTTCTGAGAATTTTGTTCTGTGATTGGAACTGGGCCAAAGGCAGGACTGATACAGAGGATAAGTTTCAACTTGATCTACATTGTTTCCTTTTCTCAGTTATTTATTGTTGACAACTAACTCACTTTCAGTATGCAACAAGTCTATGGTTTCTCCCTTCTTCTGACTCTTTTTTCCCCCCTCGCTTTCTCTTATATAGCTGCAATGCTGTGGTAAGGGTAGTACGGAACAACAAATGGGATTACCCTGTCCAGAAAACATCCAGATGCCAAAGGCAAGTGACCTCTGTTCCATTTTTTTCTAATGACTTTCCTATAGACATGTCATATTTTGAAAAACAATAAAACAATTCCCCTGGTGACAGGGAACAAGATACCGTAGATGGTGGCATCAGGATGACATGAGTTTTCTGGTCCTGCAAATTCTGTACCTTGCAAATTCCAGCACGGAAATTCCAAACGGAGTACGGTGAAGGTAAAAGGCAAGTTGGAGGTCGTATTAAGCATGTCCAGCCTTCATTTCTCAAGCCTGCTTGCAGCCTCCTGTGGTAGGAGTGACAGTACTACATTATCTGAAAAACAAAATGGGACGGATAAAAGTCCTAAAGGAAATGCCCCATGGAAACTGAAATTTGGCAAATGACTGTCTTTGTCATGCTTAGGGACTCCTAACTGGAAGCTTTGTTGTTGTTGAAAAGGATACTGTTGTTTTGATCTTTTTGGAATCTTCTTGTAGGCTCAACATTAACCTGAAGGGCAAAACTTCTTGATTTAGCATAGCCTGACAGAGAAGGGGTTTTAAATTTAGGGCAAACTGATTGTAAGATGACTTATCTTGATTTAGCATAGCCTGACAGAGAAAGGGTTTTAAATTGTAAGATGACTTGAGCATGTCAGCCTGTACAGACAAGGGGTAAACAAGAAAACATGAAAGTAGAAAAGAGAATATACCATGAAAATTGTCCAACAAAACACAAGGCATAGAAACAAGAATTAGGATAGTGATTCCAACAGCCTTTTTATATTCATCTGTTGCTTAGTGAGAAGAGTTGACAGAATAGGTTGCTGCATATTTTTCCAGGAATAAAAATATTTTAATTTTGTTTTTAATAGAACTGCCTTGTTGAAATCCAGAATGTAATTGATGCTTATCTGCATTTAGTTGGAATTGCTGGAATTGCAATTGCTGGCATCACAGTGAGTATAACCATGCTGTCACTCTCTTTATCTAAATTTGAGCACAGAAACCTCTCCTTTATTTAAAGCTTTGTGGCAAATGTTTTGCAGCAGCTGGTGAGATTCCTCAATACTAAAGTTATTTTTTACCACTTTCAGTGTGTCCTCTCTCTGAGAATTGCTTATAACTGTGCAAACAAATCTGAGTGAATTCCAGTTTTACTGTTTTGTTTTGTGTCCCTAGATTCACTCCAGAATATCTACTGGTAATCTCATTTTGTTGTTGTTGTAATAGTAGGAAAGATGTGTGTACCTGGACTGAACTGAAAAGCAAAAAGCCACAGTGGCATCTTATCTATTCCAAAACAACTACTGTCTCTTTGAGATATCCATTCCTTAGATTTCATAATTCCCTCTCCGATTATCAGTTTTGTATGGATCTTGCTAAAGGAATGGAATATAAACTGCATAGTGTTAGAACAATATTTCTCACATTGATTTGCAGCACCTGGTTAAAGGTAGTTCATTTATCTAGTGATATCACCAAAGCACTTATCTTTCCTTATCTACAAATTCATATTGCCGTTTCCCCAAGATCTGCTCCTTAGTGTTGAAGCTGTGACCAATAGATGTCACCCTGCTGCAAGGATGTGGCAGGAGTGGGAAGTCTGTATCAAATGCAGTATTTAAGAGAGAGCCTTTTCCAAAGAGTTTGCCATGACTTCATTCAGATTCAGAAATCAGCAAGCGCATGGAGACCCTGAAGATTCAGAAATCAGGAAGAGCATGGAGTCCCTGAAGAACTGTAAAGTAATGAACCTCTAGCTGACCTGAGGAGCAGCAGGTTCATGGAGTGGGGTGGACACTTCAAAGCAGATGAAGGGTTTATGTATGGAGTGGGTAAAAAGGATTTAAATAAGCCTAGGTCACTTCAGGTGTGATTTGTATAATGTGATTCTGTACTCAAAAATACAAAGGAACACAAGTGAAACAAATTTCTGATAGTCTGGTCACTCCTCAAGGATACACTAGAAATATGGGCATCTGATCTATGCCTTCCCATCTTAGAGTAAAAGTTATGAAATTTTACCCTCTTTAACAGCAGAAACATGTCGCTGTATTTTTCTGTGAGTTTCTAACAAATGGAATATGGCTGGTCGGCTATCTCTTCTTTTTTAAGTGGGTATGTGGGGAGGGAGTGTGACTCATTAGCTTAACTGCATGTTAGTATTGACCATCTCCCATCAGCAGCAGTGAGGCCTCTAGAAGTAGCTGCTAACTCTGCTTTGGAGAATAAACCTGTGGCAAAAAGCATTTTTTGGAGACTCTGGCGACAGCCACTGTTCTGTTTTTAGCATTAGTTAATCATTTTTTAACATCCAGTTAACTGTTCCCTAACATGAATACAGTTTGGTATTTAATGTATGACCTTGCATAGTAACTGTTAAGAGCTTAGGCTTCTCTGCAAAACTGCGGTGCTCAACACCAATTCCACAGACTTGATTCCTCTGGAATGATTCTCTGCTCTTATTCAGAAGTGTTTATGCTGCTCCAGGTATAACCATTCTGGAATTCAGAACTTTTTGGTGCAGTACTCGGTGTAATGCCAACAATCACAATTATTCTTGGCAGTACAACACGTTAAGAATATTAATGTTTGGGAGCTGTTCCACTGGCCACAACATTTAGAATTTAGAACAAGTAAACCAGTGTGGGCAGATAAAATTTTGACTTTGAGTATCAGTGAAGCCTGTTTCATGTTAATTGTCAGATGTCTCGAGTCTGAGTATCAGTGAAGCCTGTTTCATGTTAGTTGTCAAATGTCTTGACTCCTATAGACAGAAGCAGTTGCCTGCTATCCAGCAATGAGAGCCTTCAGATTGTTCTGATACAGAGACTGTTTTATAACTCTTTTGTAAGTGGATTCCTAAATTGCATTCCTTCTCTTCTAGATCTTTGGCATGATATTCAGCATGGTTCTCTGCTGTGCGATCCGTAATACAAGAGACATGATCTAAAATTCTCGCTGCACAACTATGTCCCAGGAGTCCCACACTAAACTTTACAAGAAGCGCTCTTCCTACCCAACTTAATAATTGTAATACATTTTATTTAGTGTTTTAACATACTGAAAAGAAAATATCGCATTAGGTGAGCCAAAAAATGCATTAGTTATAAGAAAACTGAAATGAACCAAAAAAAAAAGTGGGGGGTGTTTAAATGTCCTTTTTAATGAAAAAAATGGCATCTAAAACTAATTTGATTATTAATGTTTGTATATGTGCAATTAGGGGTTTACACATCTCTAGACACTGTGTAAACACATATATATCTCTCCTTATAGATACATATGCACATAGCAGTTATCTGTCTATTCAATACCTATTTAGGTAAATATGTGCATATGAAATACATGGTGTGTGCACATGTATGTAGGAATATTCTTCCCAGGCCTCACTATGCAAGAGTGTGCACACATCCCTAAGCTTACACAGCTTGAAACTCTTTCATATAGAACCCTTTTGCCAAAAATTAGTATAGAACAAATGCCTTTTTAAAAAAATAAAACCCATGATCCATCTTGTAAGTATTTTTACCAAAGCCCAGAGGGAAAACAAAAAAACCTTTAAGGGCCTGCTCCTGCAATCCTGTATTCATGTACATAGTCCTGTTGACTTCAATGTCATGCACAGCCTAGATTTTTTTTTCCTTTTTTTTTTTTCTTCTTTTTTTTGACTGTAACCTTTATGCAGATGCAGAAATCTCTGGGGGAGAAAAAAATGCCCAAAGGTCTCCAGCCTAAATGAAGAGGAGGGAAGAGGAGAAATACTGCCAAGATGCTCAGTCATTTATGAGCTATCACTGTGCAAAATGTGTTTAAGCTTCTCAAGCTAACCTGAGAGAATAAGTGAGTTAAAGGGGCCAATATTTTTTTTTTCAGATATGCCTTTATGCTGCAAGACTCTCTATATGGTAAATATGCTAGTGCAGGAGTGGGTTTGTATCCAGAAAAGCAGCAGCTTTGTCAGATAACCCGTGGAATCTGACTAACTGATCCAAGGCAGCCAGCTAAAGAGTGAAAATAGAGGGTTAATATCCTCTGTTTCTGCTTCTATGACTATCACAGCTTCCACGGGGCTCTTACCTCAGCCTCTCACCCTTTATTGTAGACGTAAAGGCAGAAAAGGTACGTAGGGCATTTTTACAGAGCCATAAAGTAAAATTTTGTACTGGCAGTTATGTATTGTATGAGGGATAAAAAAATACACTGTACTCTTGAAATACCTCAGGGCTTGTGTTTACATAGTTTGTTTTTTTTTAATATTTTTATTTTTCTAATTTTCATATTTATTCATATGAAAATGTCTTTTTAAAATAGCCTAAAAATATTCTCCCCAGGCGGAGAAAGTTAAGTACATTAAGGGCTCAAAATCTCTTTCGTTTTTGGCTTTTTCCAGATAATTCACCTTTTTAGGGAATTCATTTTTCCCAAGTAGATGTTTTCACAAAGAAAGGCCATGCTAGTAATGTCCACATAGCAGCTATGTCTCTCTCATTATTACTAAAACAGATTTCTGATGCAGTTGTGATTAGATTCTCTTATGTTCCATATTAAAACAATGGGCATGCTGTGGAAGAGTTTAACTAAATTATATATCTCAGTGAAATGGTTCATGACTTCTAACAGGACTGTGCATTTAAAAGTCATGGAATCTTCCAAGAAGGAAATGAGACTTCAGAAAATGTGTCCATTCCAGTGCACACTGTTTGTATGGAATATATATCCCTTAAATTGTTCCTCTTTCCCCTTCCCAAAGAAACTCAAACTGCTATCACTTTTCTCTTACTTGAGCATTGGAAAGTGTGCTGCTGTTTCATATTTCCTATTTAATTGACACTTCTTGCTTTCTTTTACATGGCTGTCCTTTCTCTTTGCAAATTGTTCAACCACAAACTTTGACTATCCAGTAATAACAGTGAGACAACTGTGCACTAAATGCAAGAGCAGCCGAGTATGCAGGAGAAACTGCCAAGTGCACAATTTCCTGGTTTAGCTTCAGGTCCCCAGCTGAAAGGGAGACAGTGTATTGTGCACAAAAGAAGAGTTAGATTTGCATTCCTCTGTTCACAGGTGATGAGCCACAGATGTCATGCAAAGGTAGGGCCTGGGACTCTGCAAGCATCAGGCCAGGAAATTTGACCCTGATCAACCGCCTGCTCCTATGACAGTCTTAGGTGGGAAAATGACATTAGCAGCAAATCCTCGAAGGTCTCAAGCTGACACCAGGACTTAACTTCTCATAGCAGGTATCTACTGACTTAGCCAAAGCAATTCCTGGGTTCCAGAGACACTTGAGATTGTCCCTAAAACTGATTCTGCCCTATACAAGAAATGGGGTAGTGTTCAATTGGGCTTTCTCCCAGGGTGAGACTGATAGAAAGTAGAAACCTGTGGCGACAGTTGCACCTGCATCCTTTTTGCCATTCAGAGCAAGGCAGCTTTCCATGATGGCAGGAAAAAATAGGGTAATAGGCAGGCACACAGTTCAGGTTCCAAGATAACTGCCCTAAAAGGACAGATTTTTTTTTGAAATAATGTTATCTCCTTCTCACAAACACACAGATCCCACATGTAGTAGGGTTAGTATTTTTTGAAACACGTCTATGCATACAACTAAGTTTTAACTCCTCAAACTTGAGGCATCAGAAAGTAATGAGATGACCAAAGGTTGCTTCTTGCTTACTCTTTCATGAGCAAGCTGGAATATGCCCATTACTGCTTATGAGATACACTGAATACAAAGGCTGTTTGCAGAAACTTAATCTTGCTTCCCTGCTCCCTGGTTAGTGCTCCTCCCCCTCCAAAAACAAACAAAAAAGCCCCACACATCTAAGTGCCTTTTGAAAACAGGGGAAAATGGTACTAAGGAAGGATTTTATTATAAATTCAAACCTGAGCAGCCTACTTTCTAAGATTTTTTTTTCCTAAAGACTGCATTTGTTTTTTCAGATCATAATTGATGTCTACACTTTAGGGTAACTCTGCTGTTGGGGTATATGGGTACCCTCGCTGCATATCAGGGGCAGAATATGGGTTACTTGTTTAGTTTTCCAAATTACTGGTATAAACTTGAAAACCAGTATGTTAGGCATCTACTAGTGCCATGAACAGCCAGAAATATAGTCTATTTTTCCATGGTAAGACACATAAGGCACTGGCAGGACTGTTCAGCAGTTTTCTCTACACGGTCTTTGGCTCAATTTAATGGTCAGGTCACAGGCTGAGTTACGGCTATCAAGAGTGGATACAGAGTGTGCACAGTTTATTGTGCTGCTGCTCGTTTGTTTCAACTGTGATACGGCAAAAATCTTCGGGTGTTTTTTGTTTGCTTGTTTGGTTGGTTGTTTTTTGCCAGCAATACAGAACCATTTCCAATAAACTATTCCATGGGCATTGAGTAAGAAAGCTCTTCAAATGTAACTAAATTCAAACGAGATGTAAAATTCCAGAGGTACCCGCTTAGTCCTGTCCTGAGTACCTGATTTAGAGGAAAGGGATGGAAACCCTCCAGGTAATAATTATGAAAAAGCACCATACGCATTTTCTTCTTAGCTTGTCAGCCAATTTGTTCTAAAGATAACGATGTAAATAGCTAATGCCTACATTACCTTAACATCGTTATTCTTGTTTTCCTTGTCTAGTGTTTCCCGAGTAATTCATTTCAGTGGGAACTTCATTTGTTACAGGAAAACCTCAGCCAGTTTTGATATCCGGCAGAGACCAAACAGGAGCTGTTGGAGAGCACTGCTCTGTAATACCCCTACATTACAGATTTATATTTCCCTTTTATTCAGCCCAAAAGTTACAAAATATAATTCATATATAATGAAAAATAAATGAATTCAAACGATACCTTTTCAGCCTTTGGAAACCAATGATTGATGGAAACCAATGTAAACAGCATCAGATGCTGTTTACAGAAAGCGTACCTAAGTTGAGCTGGTCAATCTTGCTTCCTCCTCTCTACTGGTGCTCTGCCCATGCCAATCTTCTGCACTACACAAACCGCTTTATTACAGCATGCTTGCTGCTATAGCACGAGTTCTGATTTCAGACAGACCTGGGGTATCAGTTTATGACTGCTATAGCAGCATTATCTCTATGGCAGTTGTGAAAGAAAACAAGAAAAGGGCTGATACTTGTTCTGATGCTGAAATCACTTTCTACTTCTCTTTAGCGTGGTGTGTTCTGGAGGGGCGTTTATCGACTTTTCTGTGGTAAATTTCAAACAACATTCTAATAAAAATAACCTGAAACAGAAGACTAGCAGAGGGACCTTGTCTGCCACCCCCAGCAGCTCCCCGCCTCGGCCGCCGCCTCGCCTCACCTCAGATCCTCCCGCTCAGGCTGCCGCGCGTGGGATCGCGCAGCGGTCGGTGCCGGGAGCCAGGCCCAGCGCGCAGCTCCCTATCGGCGCAGTCGCCACGGTCCCTCATGGAGCCCGCCCGCCCCGGTGCCGGGGGTGACCGCGGGGGCGACCGTGGGGACGGCCCGGAAAGAGGCGCGAGGCGGGGGCCGCAACCGGCAGCCGCCGCCGCGGCGCCCGCCCCCGCCCCCGGGG